CTTGTCCATTGTGCCCTGCCTCATGTACAGAGGAGGAATTGTTGGAGGCTACAGACGTTGCTGTTGCCTGTTTTTGGTCAAAAGATATTTAGCCACCTGCATACCTTCTATTTTATCAGTTTTATACTAATTTATGCAATGCTTTTGATACAAAATAAATAAATGGCTAAACATCATAAAATTTTGGTTGTACATTCACTACCAAAGTCCCAGTAACTCTTTGACCCAACTCACCTTGAGCGAACTCCACCACTCAAAATGGTGTACAAAAGTCCTAGCAAAGATTGGGGAATTGACCTATGATAGTGACTTCTTGAATATGCTAACTTTCACTGTGATCTTTACCCTTATCAAGAAGAGGTTGCTAGAATTGGACTATAAACAATTTCGGAGCTTGGCCAATAAATCCTGTTCACCTATTTTCAAAAGGTTATGATCTCTAACAAGGTCATGACTTTTCTGTGACCAGTGCCTTTCCAAAATGTTATGGAGATTCACATTTTCCAAAAAACCAAACATGCCCTCTCTCTGGAGAGGAAACCACAGCATTCTCATAAGAATACTCACTTTTTATTCCTCTGCCCAGACTTCCTCTAGTACTGATTCTTATAATTCAGACTGGTTCTTACCAAGTGCATCTTGGGGGTGGGGGGAGGTAGGGGGTGGGTTGGATTGGACTGATCTGCAATCAGTGGATCTTTGTGTACTCTACCCCAGCTTGGAACTGGTTCCTGCGTAGGCACTCCACAGTAAACCGGATCTCTTAAATCCTCATTCTGACCCAGATTAAATGGCAATGTAGAATCAAGCCATAGTCATTTGATACTCCTGAAGATGTACCAGAAAATAATTTGCGTGGAGAGTGAGCTTAACCTTTCATGCAGCCACACATCTTTCTGGAAATGATCCCCAATAGGTTTCAGTGTGTTATGCCCTCCCTTCTTTTCTCTCCAGGGGACAGCTTGGTTCTTCTGGAGAAAATCATAGGTTCAAAAGGCTTTCTTGGTTAAAAAAAATTCGAACCCCTCCATTCACATCACAGTTCTGCAGTTTGGTTTCGTATGGGCAAACACAACTGTTAGTCAAATGTAATACATATTGCTGGTCATGGTGGTAAGAGATTATTGAAGCTGCTGTTCCAAAACTAACTTTTTTTTTGTAAAGAACTCTGTATTTATTATAACATGTAATTTGGTTTTCAGTCAGAGAGGTGACCATTTTGCGTATTGCAAAAGTAACATGGCTATAGCATTTTACTGCCAACATATATTACACTGCATCTTAGACATATAAGCTAATATACTTTCAAAGGAATGTAGTCTAATTTTTTTTGTTATATCCTTTCAAATATATCAGTCTTTACTTAGCTGTATTATAGTGCCTATTTTTATGGCATTAACTCTTTAAAAAGCCAAAGAGGAGAATCTATGTGTATGTCAGCCCTTCTGCATTCTTTGTAATGGCTATCTATGAACATATGGTAACAATGAAAGTTTTGTCAACAGACAATATAATTTATTGGGCCAGAAAAAATAGAAAATATAATAAATTGTCCTCCATAGTTATTGACAGTTTTAAAGAGATTTAAATGTACAAATAGTTGCTGCATGAAATCATAAAATTTTGTAATACCCAACCTATTACTGGAACATTTATATATGAAGCAATATATGCGTTGGGTAACATTATGGCCTCAATCCCGAGGTTAGTCATGTTTAAGTCCTGCTGAAGCTAGTAGAAAAGGTTAGCTGTGAATAAATGAAATCCCTTTGATATCAGTGAGTTTAAAAGTTACTCTGTTGTTGTGTGCTTTCAAATAATTTCCAAGCTAAGGTGACCCTAAGGCAAACCTATCACAGGGTTTTCCTGGCAAGATTAGTTCAGAAGAAGTTTGCCATTTTTTCATCTAAATTTGAACCTATTACCTCATGTTAACATGATGCATCAGTGCATAGAATATCCAGTTATATGTGCAATTTAGTACCCTTTCATTGCAGTTAAGTGCAGATACAGTGAAGACATCTGCCTTGCGCTTTGCTGCTCTGCTGCTGAATACACACGCCTAGTGTGAAAAACATCTCACCACGTTAAAACAGTGGATGTGGCTCTTAATGAGACATGCCACATTATCACAGGATGTCTATGCCCCACACCACTGTTTGTCTAGTATTACACCATCTGACATCTGTTGGGAAGTAGCAGTCTGTAATGAAAGGACCAAGGCATTGACATCTTCATCCCATCCCCTGTTCAGATATCAGCCAGCACGCCAACACCTTAAATCAAGAAATAGTTTCTTAAGATCTACAGAGATTTTTGTAGGAACACCTCAGCAAGTGAGAGTCCAAAAGTGGCAGGCCAAAACCCAGCACCTCAATCAGTGGCTGAGACTGGATGAGAAACTCCCCCCTGGGCACACAGAAGAGTGGATGATTTGGAAGGTGCTGAACAGGCTGCGCTCTGGCACCACAAGATGCAGAGCTAACCTTAAGAAATGAGGCTACAAAGTGAAGTCTACGACGTGCGAGTGTGGAGAAGAGCAAGCCACAGACCACCTACTATAATGCAACCTGAGTCCTGCTACATGCACAATGGAGGACTTTCTCACAGTGATACCAGAGGCACTCCAAGTGGCCAGTTTCTGGTCAAAGGACGTTTGCCAAGCATAATGCCAAGTTCTTTTTTTAACACAATTGCAGTTATACTTAGAAGTAAGACACACTGAATGAAATGGGGCTTCCTTTCATGCGTGTTTAGGGTTTTTAATCACAGATCATTTTACCTTTTCCTCCTCATATGTTTAATAAGTAAGTGAGGAAATATCTTCACTGTCTCTTAAGAAATATTAGAAATTGGAAGCATTATATCGCCTCTAAATGAAGGATGCATGTAGTTGACATAAAACTAAAGCCTACAATGAGTGCTTCCATAAATATTGCAGGATATTAATTTTACTTATCCTTTCTATGGTACTAGGTAAACACGATAAATTAAAAAGTAGTGGAGTAGAAGAGTAGTAAAGGGAAAAGCCCAGGACTGTGGAACATGTAATTCTGCCAAATCAAAATAAAGGTCTAGCTCATATTCATTTATGTCTGAGTTTAATATATTATATTGTGCTTTTAATGTATAGTATTTTAATTGGTCTGATTCCTTATACTTATAATGTATATTTAGTTTAACTTTTACTTCAGTTGTTTATAAGTAATATTGAGTTATTTGATTTTATGTTTTGCCTTGATTGTTGTTTGCCTTTTTACTGGCATTGAATGTTTGCCATTTTTGTTATTTCTGTAAACCGCCCTTAGTCCCTTTGGGGAGAGAGGGCGGGTTATAAATAAAATATTATTATCATCATCCCCCCATTGTGTGCCGCCTTGTTGTTGGCGGGGGGCTTAACTGCTTCTATGATGTTGAGATTATTATTATTATTATTATTAATCATAATGATAATAAAAACCTCTCATATTGCTTTGTAATCCTTGGTTATTAATATCAAAATATGAATAACTCCATTTACTAAATCTGTATAAAATATTGAAGTTGGTTTTCAGCATACAAAATTCATCAACATTTCACCCACTTCATTTTAAGCGTGGTACATTTTGTAGGAGGAAAATCCCTTTCCTAGCTTTTTGACATGAAAAGTCATTTATGAATTTATGACTTCATCAGGTCCAACATTTCTTAATAAAGAAGTCACACTGAAATAATTTTAATGTAGAATACTTTTTTCAGGGTTCAGATTTTATTACTGAAACTTGTTAAGTTAGTTATTATCATGTACAAGCATACAGCCATTTATTTTGATCTCTAGAGATAACAACTGTCATGCAGAATATTTTCCCTTTTCAAATTTATTTTTATTAAGGGTAGAAAGGGGAGATTAGGGATTGAGAGGTCAAAAGAAAAAGAAGAGGAGAAAGAAAGAAAAAACCTTGTACATATAAAGTGGGAGAACAATGGTGTAATAGAAAAGAAGGAAACATAACAATGTAACAAAAAGCACAAAAATACTATCAAAAACAGAAAAAAAAACCCTTGTACATGTAAAGCGGGAGAACAATGGTGTAATAGGAAAGTAGGAAACATATAACAATATAACAAAAAGCACAAGAAAGAAAGAAAACTGCTATCAATAAAAAAAAGAGTCTGTTGACCTCCATCTAGTCCAGTGGTTCTCAACCTGTGGGTCCCCGGGTGTTTTGGCCTACAACTCCCAGAAATCTCAGCCAGTTTACCAGCTGCTAGGATTTCTGGGAGTTGAAGGCCAAAACATCAGGGGACCCACAGGTTGAGAACCACTTGCGGCTTTGTCTTTATTTGGCGGCTTGAATTTGGCGGGTGAGCTCCCGCTGTTAGCCCCAACTCCTGCCAACTTAGCAGTTCGAAAACATGCAAATGTGAGTAGATGAATAGGTACCTCTTCTGCAGGAAGGTAAATTATGCTCCCTGCAGTCATGCCGGCCACATAACTTTGGATTAGTACCACCCCTAGAGCCAGAGATGAAAGGAGAATTCTTTATCTGTGTGTCTGTGTTTCATTGTTTTGAGGCACTGCCTTGTTTGCCTTGTGTCTCTGTATATGCTGGAATCTGCCCTAAGATAGGGCGGAATACAAATAAGTTGTTGTTGTTGTTGTCGTCGTTGAGTCATGGCAGTTACAGTGGTGTCAAACTACATTAATTCTATAGTGCTGGTGCCTCAAAGTGACTAATAATAATGTAAAAATAAAACAACTTAGCTAATCTCTTACAAATATTAAAAAAATGTTAAAAAGCACATACTGCAGTTCAAAACATTTTGAAAGAGATTTAAAAACATAATTGAAAAGATCTAAGACAAAACACAGAACATCACTATTAAATACCCTTCTATCATTTTACATGCTTATTCATAAATCTAATCTGATCCATTCCTGCATTAATCTGCATTTTTAAAAAATTGCACAAAGATGCCTACGCATTTTATGAGTTAGTCCTAAAACACAAAATTCCACATGCATTTATGCATATATTTTATTGTGAAATATACATTTTACAGCATAATTCTCTACACTCTGCTTTTGCAGGAATCCACATGATGCATGGCTGGATTCGAAGCACAAATGTTGCATTTAGATGTTAACCCGTGTCTTCAGAACATGAGCTTTACTCCAGATCTTCCTGGAAGCACTGGTGATCCTGCAGTTTTGGAGATGTGGACAGCTGGATCTAACCCAATCCATTGTCCAAATCACCAATGAACCAACTGCTATGTTGCTGCCAACAAGTAGGTCCCTCCAGAGGCCTGTTAGTGGTGTCACATTTCTGATGATATTATTTCTGGCATTGAACCGTGGGATCAGTGGTCATTGTAGTCATCAGGTCCCTCCCAAAGGCTTGTTGGTGATGTCACATTTCTGGAGATGTCATTTTTGGCACTGAACCATGTGACCAGTGGTTATTATAGCCCAGATGCATCTTTGGTCTGGACAGCTCCAAGGATACTCCCAGGCTGCATCAGGACAGATCTAAAGACTTTCACACTGGATTTATCCTGTAGGTGTAGACACAACCTTAGTCCCAGAATCCAAGTTGTCTTAACTAGGATAATAGCTCATTGAACTGTTTCAGAACTAGGGACAATTAATGGCCTGTAAAGCATTATGCAAATTACCAGTGCTTGACGCATACTTACCTGCAGCTTGCCATCTACACTTGTTCTTTTCCTATGTTGTTGGCAAATGAACACTTATAATGCCAGTGTCACTCTAAGTATGCATGATTCCTTTGTTGATCAGCTGACGTTATGAAGGTATTGACTCCTGAAGGTGATGGCCGTCAAGCTGATCTGTAGATAAAAACAGAGCCAAATATGCTTTGTCCACATTTACAAACTCAAGACATTTTAAATGTGAGTTTCTGCGATACAAAGTCAGCCACTTAGAGTCCTTTCATATCATAAAGCATAATTGATGGAGTTTATTTCCTAGGACCCTAATTTAGTTGTCAAAAAATGTTTGCCCCGTGCCAGCATATTACAACAACTACCCATTTCCTTTTTGGAAATGCGTATCTGAGTTGGGGAGAACAATTAATTCCTCCCACATGCTGCTATTCCTACTTTTCTGGAGCCATTAAAATTTAAAAGAGTCTGCTGATAAGTCTGAATTTTGTTTCCTGGTTTCTTTCAACTGACATAGAATTATAAAAGATTGCTTTAGCTTTTAAATTAAAATAGTAAGAATAGTAGATGCTTTTAGTTACTAATGCTTTTCCCCCTCATTTATGAACAGAAGCCTTCTAATCTTCTGAATAGTGTGGTAAATGTGAAAACCTGCTTGGCACTTGCAACTTACTGTGGAAAAAAAGCCTGTCATTTCTTAGTGTACAACAGCCTTCAATAAATAATTGCTTTAACTATTGTTAAAACGCAACCTGTTGTATGTACTCATGTGTAAGTTGTTGGGCGAGTGGACTTAATAACAAAAGACCCTCCCCATAAATGCACAGCAGAGCAACTTCGCAGCAGCAGCGTGAGCCAGCGCCAGTAGCCCAAAGTGATAAAAGAACAAAAAGACACAGGCCAATGTTATATCTTCCAAAGGAGGCTTTTCTTTGTAGCAAAACAATATAGTTGCACTATTTACAATAGCAAGGTTTTCACAACACGAATAAACAAATACATAGTAGCTTTATACACACAGCAGGTTTTATATACTAGAGATCCCTCACACAAGGCTTCTCTCATATAGACTCCTCCTCACACAGATGGATGAGTTCCCTCACGGAGGCAAAACTTACTTTAACAGGCTTCAGCCTACTCACTCTCCTCAGGGTGACGCCAGCTTTTCGCTTACAATTGATGTTTAGAATTATAGAATCACAAAGATGGACGAGACCACAAGGGACATTCAGTCCGATCTTCTGCCATGTCATAACACACAGTCAAACCACCCCTGGCCATCCAACCTTTGCTTACAAACCTCCAGAGAAGGAAACTCCCCCACTGTCCCTGGAGGCAACATACGCATATTTCACAGCCGAACAGCTTACCATCAGGAAGTTTTTTCTAATGTTTAGGTGGAATGCCCCCCCCCCCCAATTTGAATCCATTGCGTATTGTGTCGTAGGATCTCTTCACATTGAAAATTTTCCCTGGCATTGGACATTTCAACCTCTTTTCAAGCATGGAGAGGCATGGAGCTCATCACATGACATTATACTACTCCCGGCCATCATGCATAGCCCTCCGTGGTTGAAGAAGTGTCTTGAAAGGAGGTAACTCCAGCAATCACGTTCAGGGATCTCATCATCACACTGAGAAATTTCCCAGTCATAGGACCCTTCAGCCTCTTTACAAGCATGGAGAGGCATGGAACTTATCACATTATGTTAAACTACTTCCAGGGTTGAAAAGAGGCAGAAATGTCCTGAAAGGTGGGGACTCTAAACAAGGGCCAGCAATCATGTTCAGAGCTCCTACCTCCTATCATGCTTTACTCCCATGGTTATAGATCTCTTATAGAACTCCAGTATGCTGATGACAACGTCGTCTGTGCACATTCAGAAGAAGATCTACAAGCCACTCTAAACACCTTCGCAGAAGCATATAAGAAGCTTAGCCTGTTATTGAACATCGAGAAAACCAAAGTGCTGTTCCAGCAGACACCAGCCAACCCCTCTCCAATGCCAGCGATACAGCTTAATGGTGTAACATTAGAAAATATTGATCATTTCTGTTACCTAGGCAGCCACCTCTCCACCAAAGTCAACATCAATACCGAAATACAACAGCGCCTAAGCTCTGCAAGCACAGCATTTTCCGAATGAAGCAGAGAGTGTTTGAGGACCGGGACATCCGTAGGGATACCAAGGTGCTTGTTTATAAAGCTATTGTCCTCACACCCTGCTATATGCCTGCCAAACGTGAACATTCTACAGACGTCACATGCAACTCCTGGAACGATTCCATCAGCGCTGCCTCCGGAAAATCCTGCAAATCTCTTGGGAAGACAGGCAGACAAATGTCAGCGTGCTGGAAGAAGCAAAGACCACCAGCATTGAAGCAATGGTCCTCCACCATCAACTCCGCTGGACCGGCCACGTTGTCCGGATGCCCAACCACCATCTCCCAAAGCAGTTACTCTATTCTGAACTCAAGAATGGAAAACGGAATGTTGGTGGGCAGGAAAAGAAATTTAAAGATGGGCTCAAAGCCAACTTTAAAATCTCTGGCATAGACACTGAGAACTGGGAAGCCCTGGCCCTTGAGCGCTCCAGCTGGAGGTCAGCTGTGACCAGCAGTGCTGCAGAATTTGAAGAGGCACGAATGGAGGGTGAAAGAGAGAAATGTGCCAAGAGAAGGGCGTGTCAAGCCAACCCCGTCCGAGACCGCCTTCCAACTGGAAACCAATGCCCTCACTGCGGAAGAAGATGCAGATCAAGAATAGGGCTCCACAGTCACCTACGAACCCACTGCCAGGACACCGAACTTGGAGGACCATCATCCTTGGACTACGAAGGATCGCCTAAGTAAGTAAGTAAGTAAGTAAGTAAGTAAGTAAGTAAGTAAAACTCCCATGGTTCCAGCTGAAAAGCAGGTGGGATGGGAGCTATCAAAAAATTTCCATTCTGTTTAATTGCCCACTCCTATCAATTTCCTTTATCATATGGGGCAGGACAATTTTATCCCATGGAAAGAAGAGGTTTTAAAGTGGTGTCATTCTCCTTTAATATAAGGGGCTTTGGGATGGGCAAGGAGTCTCTTTTTTTTTCTAGATATTTGTAGTTTTCCCTGTTTTTCCCCCCTGTGTCACCCATCCTATATCTGTGCATTTCATTTTGATTGAGTTCCTTCTGACAGCTCCATCTCCCCATGCGGGAAAATGAGAGAAGGATGGTAAAACATCAAAACATACGGGCATCCCCTGGGCAACGTCCTTGCAGATGGCCAATTCTCTCACACCATAAGCGACTTGCTGTTTCTCAAGTCACTCCTGAGACCAAAAAAAGCAAAACAAAAAACTTCAACTACAGCTTTAACTATTATGGCTGCCTCCTAGGAAATATCCTGGGAAATGTAATTTATGATTGCAAACTTCTGCTAGAAAAGATCTAATAAACTTCTACTAAGTATTTTAAGCACTGCATCAAACTACAAATCCCAAGTTTTTGCAAAATGTAGCCATAACAGTTAAAGTACTATGCAACTAGTTAAACTGGTATAGTGCAGATAGATGTGGATTGGAAATTTAGAATTATTCCTACAGCCTTTGATTTTAGTTTAATATCAGATGCTGAGAACTTCATAAATGAAAGCATTGTCAGCTGTCATTCCGGGATTGGGATTCAGTGCCTTAAATGTGTTGATATATTTTGCAAATGTTCTTGTATAATGGAAATTATATATTCATAGTACACGGCGTTCTTCATATAGCAGAAATTAGCAATGTATTATCATGAATGTGTAGGTATTGGTGTGCTCCAAAACTCAGCTAAAGTTAGCTCAGTATTGGCTCTTTCTAGTACTACTGAACATTTGCAGTATTTTATATTTCAGAAAATGCAACTGAGGAATAATCATATGCCCTCACTACATAAAGATGCATTTCATCTTTATTTATTTCATTTACCACCTTTGGTTTGCAAACATACATAACAAGACAGAAAGATCTCTTAATAGTATTGGTTAATTTCAAGGGAAACAACATTGGTAAGTGACAAAATCTCATCTTCATTTGTATCACTATATTTTACCAATGTGTAAATGTCAATAATTGTTCCTGACATTTATTGCTGCATTGCAAAACAAACACAAAGAGGTAGCCATAAATAACTCAGCTATTCATTCATTCATGTCCCACTTTTCTCTTCTTACAGGACACAATGTGGCAAAGTTACAAACAATAAAAAGGGTACAGCTTCAAAAATCTGTTCACATCTTTAAAAAACAGTTAAAGAATAGTTTGGTTAGTAAAACAAAGTTCAAACAATTAAAACACAAGCCCATTAAAAGCCTTGCTGGTACAGGGAGAAATGTACAGTACTCCACTTTGACAGCTGTCAGAAGGAACTCAATCAAAATGAAATGCACAGATATAGGATGGGTGACACAGGGGGGAAAAACAGGGAAAACTACAAATATCTAGAAAAAAAAGAGACTCCTTGCCCATCCCAAAGCCCCTTATATTAAAGGAGAATGACACCACTTTAAAACCTCTTCTTTCCATGGGATAAAATTGCCCTGCCCCATATGATAAAGGAAACTGATAGGAGTGGGCAATTAAGGAACTCCTATCCACTCTCCCTGGATTGAACCTCTCTGACCTGTCAGTCATCAGTCCTGCCGGCACAAGGGTTTAACCCATTGTGCCACTGGGAGCTCCATTGTAGTTGAATAACTGTGTAGTGCAGATATACCCTTAGTCTCCTTCCAATGACTGTGTTTATTGCAGGTCTCCACACAAAACCATTCCACATAAATGCTTATCAAAAATGCATTCTCTTTCCACATCTAAGCTCTGAATAGAAAACAATCTCATGAGATCACTATTGCCCTATTCACATCTAGTTGGCTACTCTGAGCATCAGGATGTTGGACTGGATAGTGTTTTGGTCTAATATAGAAGGGCTTGATTGTGAATTCTTGAAAAAAGTATTAGACTTTAAGCCTATTACTGGCACAAGATTTTATGTGGTTTATAATGTCCCTCTGAGCTAGTATAATTGAGCAGAAGTCAGAGGGAACATTTCCTAAGGACTGTTAATGACCTCTCTTAACAAGCATTCTCATCCCCAGGAAGCACTTCAGAAAGATGAAAAATGGGTGAGACCACCAGTCATAAAAAT